CTTTTGACCAGAGTCTTATGGGGCCTGGTCAAAAGAAGTGCACTATATTGGGAATAGGGTGGCATTTGGGATGCCATGACAGATTTGGTTGTGAGTGCCAAAATGAGTTAGGGAATAGGGATGGTCTGTCGGTTGCCACCACAAACAAATAGAAAGAGTCAATGGATGTGTCTCAAATGGGACCCTATTCCCTTTAGAGTGCACAACTTTTGACCAGGGGACATACATGTAGGCCACTGGTCAGGGCCCATAGGGCTCTGGTCAAAAGTAGTGCACTATATAGGGAGAAGAGTGCCATTTAGGACGCAAGCAATGTGTTTTAAGCACTCATACGAGGACCTTGTTTGGTTTTGACAAAAGTCCTATCAGGGCAGCAGGTAGCGTGGCGGTCAGTGCGTCGACAAGGTGAAAAATCTGTCGATGTACCCTTGAGCAAGGCACTTAAGCCTAATTTGCTCCAGGGCCGCTGAACTACTGTGTCTGACCCTGTAAAACAACACATTTCACTGCACCTATCTTGTGTATGTGACAATAAAACATATTTAATCTGATATATCTGTCAGCTATGGAAACTCAGATGTACAGGCTTCAGTGATTGTCTATCCACATATAGGCATATTAAAGGCTTCACTGGACATCCGAAGCATTAACATAATAGCCAAAATGGTTGAGGGAGAGAGAGATATTACACTTGCCACCCAAAAAGGATGACTGAGTGTTTATTTGCAATTTCTGTAAATTAAATGATACTTAAAATTCAATTCACACATATTGCATGCAATTGATTTTAGCATTTTATTACACATTCTGCAGAAAGAAGCCTTTTGAAATATCAGTGATGTCATTTGCTATTTTGCAGCTGAGGCCAATGTCATATTTTCTTTCCTTAGAGAGTGTTTTGTAATCACCAACTCCAACTGACCCTATCCTCTCCCCCGCCCTCTCTCTCTCTCTCTCTCTCTCTCTTGCTCTCTTTCCATCTCAAAGTAAAACAAACAGAGAGAGGAAGAAGAAAAGAAAGAGGGAGGGGCACTTGTTTACCCGTTCATCCTCTCCAAAATGTTTTCCTTGAGGGGAAGAATAGACGCTAAATAGATCCTTCTTTGACATAGAAACTTCCTCAGAAGTCCTAGTACTGAAACATCACTACAACCATTCATACAAAACAAACTTAGTTTTAATGGGTTTTCTTGAGCCTGTAGGCTATTCTGAATGCAATCTGCAGTTCAAACAATAACAAAGAGCGCACCCCACCACTGTTTAGGTAAAAGGCTGAGGTATGGGGCAGGAGAAATGTAACCACTCTAGAATTCATAGACAGAGCTATGGATGCAAGGACTGACCATCCATGATATCAAAATGATAGTTTTAACCATGTTTTGAGGCTATACAGTGTTTGTTTACAATTGTGTTGTTTACCAACAATAAGTAAAACAAGCTTATATTTTGAGTTTGGATGGGGTACGACAGTTGAACTAAGCTCATGAGGCATGTATAAGTTATATTCTTCAATAACCAATGGGTATGTATGTATCATTAATTTATATATATATATATATATATATTATATATTAATTTAAAAGTCCAAAAAATGGATGGACAAAGCGCAGATTGCCCCTTTAAACTCAAAGTCTTGGAAGTGTGGCCTTGCTCATCAAAATCATTACAATAAACCCACATTACAATAAAACAATATCCTCTAAAATAATACTCTCTGATCTACAATCTTTGAGGTCCAGATTGTTATTGCCATTATTATTATTATTATTATTGTTCAATCATCAGCTTCCCTAAGAAGAGAGCCAGACTGTTGTGGACAGCATCAGACAAGACTCAGGGAACACTGGGCGATGATGTCTCAATATGGTCTTACTAGGAGATAGCCAGTCTTTGGGAACCACCCATCACTGACAGTAAGTGGCTCACTATCTGTCCCAAATGGCACCCTATTCCCTATATAGTGCACTACTTTTGACCAGGGCCAATAGGGAAAACCCATAGGGCTCTGGTCAGAAGTAGTACACTATATAGGGAATAGGGTGCAATTTGGGATGCATGCTCAATCTTGTCTGCTTCCAAAATAGCTCCCTGTTCTCTATGTAGGGAACAACCTTTGACCAGGGCTCGTTTGACCAGTATTGCACTATAGGGAAAAAGGTGCCAATTGGGATGCAGCCTGGATGTATTTCGAAGGTGGTCTCCCCATGCTTGAACTTGTAGTATTCTAAAAGGACTGTCATGGTATTCCAAACCTGGCCCCACATCTAAGAGTTCATGATTCGATACCACACGTGGACATTCAACACCCTAATTCGCTACAATGATAATGTAATGGGTGTGGGGCTAAGCTGGGCTGAGCTCTGCATGGGGCCATGAGAGAAGTCAGTCTCTTTGAGTCCCAAATGGCACCCTATTCCCTACATACACAAATAAAATAAAACAAAATGTTATTTGTCAAAAGCGCCGAATACAACGGATGTAGACTTTACCGTGAAATGCTTGCTTACGAGGCCTTCCCAACGATGCAGATAAAGAATAAAAATAGTAACACTCTTAGAAAAAAATTTGCTGTCAAAATGGTTCTACCTGAAACAAAAAAGGGGTTTTACCTGGAACCAAAAAGGGGTTTTACCTGGAACCAAAAAGGGTTATCCTATGGGGACAGTCGAAGAACCCATTTAGAACCCTTTTTTCTAAGAGTGTAGTGCACTACTTTTGACCTTAGTCCTATGGGCCCTGGTCAAAAGTTCTGCACTATATATGTAGGGAATAGGGTGCCATTTGGGATGCACAACCTTGGCAGTGAGTCACCCTACTAACATCTGGAGACCTGTTAGTATTGGCAGACTACTGCTGTTACTAATGTCAGGGGAAGAGAGAGAGAGAGAGAGAGAGAGAGAGAGAGAGAGAGAGAGAGAGAGGAGCTAGAGAGGAGGAGAGAGAGAGAGATAGAGAGAGAGGTGGAGTGCGAGTGAGAGTGATAGAGGAAAGATACCGAGAGAAAAAGAGAGAAAGAGAGAGAGAGAGAGAGAGAGAGAGAGAGAGAGAGAGAGAGAGAGAGAGAGAGAGCATGTCACCTCTGTCATCCTTAATAAGGACATGGATACAACCTCTCGAATGTTAGGAGAGAGTGAGTGAGGGGTGGGACAAAGAAAGAGAGAGGGGAATAAGGGAACAGATGAGACAGATCAAGCCCAAAACAATGACGTTTACTCACTTAAATCTTGCTGTTTGTTCCCAACACCAAATAGTACAAGCTAGCTTATCACACTGAATTAGTTGAGTAAGTCTGGGTGAATAAGGGAAAGCGCCTGCAGAATCGGAATCTGTTTTCAATCATTCCATTATAGAGTTCCAGAATTAAACTCTATGCTCCACATGGGAACTCCATGGTAGAACTGTTACCCAATGAGAATGAACCACTGAAGTTGCTATCTTGTGCTGCCCTCTAGCCTCAAGAAGAATAACTTACAATCTGGATGCTGTATGTAGAAGTTTCCCATAGATAGGAGCAGGTCTAGGATCAGCTTACTCCCAAATCTTAAGGTTTAAATTACAAGGTAAAACACAACACTGACCTTAGATCAGTGTTTAAGGGCATCCTAGTGTCTTACAATGTTTTGTAGCCTATTTTTGCTATAGGGACTGATACACACACACCAATCCATTATGGCTAGAAGATACACTACATGACCAAACGTTTGTGGACACCTGCTCGTTCCAAAATCTCATTCCAAAATCATAGGCATTAATATGGAGTTGGTCCCTCCTTTGCTGCTGCTTTAACAGCCTCCACTCTTCTGGGAACGCTTTCCATTAGATGTTGGAACATTGCTGCGGGGACTTTCTTCCATTCAGCCACAAGAGCATTAGTGAGGTCGGGCACAGATGTTGGGCGATTAGGCCTGGCTCACCGTCGGCGTTCCAATTCTTCACAAAGGTTTTCAATGGGGTTGAGGTCAGAGCTCTGCGCAGGCCAGTAAAGTTCTTCCACACCGATCTTGACAAACCATTTCTGTATGGACCTCACTTTGTGCATGGGGGCATTGCCATGCTGGAACAGGAAAGGGCCTTCCCCAAACTGTTGCCACAGAGTTGGAAGCAAAGAATCGTCTAGAATGTCATTGTATGCTGTAGCGTTAAGATTTCCCTTCACTGGAACTCAGAGCCTTGCCAGAAACATGAAAAACAGCCCCCGACCATTATTCCTCTTCCACCAAACTTTACAGCTGGCACTATGCATTCAGGCAGGTAGCGTTCTCCTGGCATCCGCCAAACCCAGATTAGTCTGTCGGACTGCCAGATGGTGATGCGTGATTCATCACTCCAGAGAACGCATTTCCACTGCTCCAGAGTCCAATGGCGGCGAGCTTTATACCACTCGAGCCTACGCTTGGCACTGCGCACAGTGATCTTAGGCTTGTGTGCGGCTGCTCAGCCATTGGACTTTCATGAAGCTCTCGACGAACAGTTATTGTGCTGATGTTGCTTCCAGAGGCAGTTTGGAACTCGGTAGTGAGTGTTGCAACCGAGGACAGACGATATTTACGCGTTACGCACTTCAGCACTCGGCGGTCCCGTTCTGTGAGCTTGTGTGGCCTACCACTTTGCAGCTGAGACGTTGTTGCTCCTAGATGTTTCCACTTCACAATAACAGGGTCAGCTCTAGCTGGACAGAAATGTTACGAACTGACTTGTTGGAAAGGTGGCATCCTATGACAGTGCTACGTTGAAAGTCACTGAGCTCTTCAGTAAGGCCATTCTACTGCAAATGTTTGTCTATGGAGATTGCATGGCTGTCAGCAACGGGTGTGGCTGAAACAGCTGAATCCACAAATTTGAAGGGGTGTCCACATACTTTTATATATATAGTGTATTTAATACTCCCCTTGGCTCCCTAGTCTCCAGACCAGACCACAGGCCTACCTAGAAGCAGATTAATTCATATTTTCCATCTGTTTCAAAGACAGAGTTCCAGAGTTGTAAAATACAGAGTAAATATGGACAGGCTGGACATGGAAATCAAGATGGAATGTCAGGTTAGAGCCTGCATTGCATGTGCTTGGTGCTGTGCTCTGTCCCAGAAAGTCCAGTTGTAGAACAATATGGTTATTATGTTGAGATTGAGATAAATGATTTATCCCACTATTGTAGTCTACAAAGTAACTTCGGCCCCACGCTACTTGGGCAGAAGTGTCTGGCCTGCCTACAAAGAGCAAAATAAGGTTGTAGATAAAGGTTATAGGTAGGCCTAATATAAAAACATTTCCTGTTTTTATCATTTTTGGGTTGATGACAAAAAACACAAACCGACAGACATCACACAAATATACATTTATTGCCCCACCCCCCTTCCCACCCACAGGACCACCTTATTTTAGTAATATTCCAGTGTAGCTCAGTTGGTAGAGCATGGCACTTGCATTGGTTGGGGGTTCGATTCCCACGGGGACCAGTATGAAGAAAGTATCAAAATGGTGCAGTCGCTCTGGTTAAGAGCGTCTGCTAAATGACTAAAAAGAAAATATATCAAAGAAGTGATTTTAAACTGTTAATATTGTCCGATTTTGCACCATGCAGTCAAGGGAGATTGATAGTTCAATTTGTGCTATGACCATGAATGAGGAAATCCATTGCTGATATGGCAGAGTGTGTGGGGCTGGCCATCTTAAGGCAACCACATTCTCTTGGCTGCTGTATGTTAGGTTTAGTGTAAAGTCATCATTAAGCAGTAGCACATTGGAAAGACATGGGATGGATTTCGATAAAAAGGAGAAAACCTCTGGGCACACCCAGATGATATGAGTGAATATACCAGGAGTACCCTGGGGGCAGAGCATACAGACAGGGGTTGGATTTCTGTTCATCTGAAAACGTTTTTTGGGGGGAGTTGTATGTAGGCTAAATTGTAGCTGGTGATTTGGTGATTTGGGTTTCTTGATGAGAATGTAATATTGTAATATTGGACCAGACAGTACTCCAGTTAATTACTGCTGGTATATCTTTGTTCCAATTTGAATAGATTGGTAATTGATGATATGTTGCTTCAAGTAGGAATATCTATAATTTGGAGACTATGCCCTTACCCTTGCTGTCAATATTTTGTTAATTGGATGATATACTGTATCTGAACCCCAGGGTACTATACACGTAGAGCAGAGATCATTTCTGAGATCCTTTTCGAATTTATCATAAAAACTGATTCAATCATTGAAACTTTATCAATATGAGAGCTTATCATGTCCGAATATTTGCAATGGCACCCGGTTCACATATTGACAACACAACTGACAGGCATAGTGCGCAATGGATCTAAATCATAGGAATTCTCACGGGGCCGAAGGAAAGTGTTATAGGCTTACTGTAGGCCACAGTAGCTGCAGAAGATTGGATTTGATAAGGGTCACTTGTTCTAGGTCAGTAATGCCGGCACACACACTCACGGATGAGATTATACCGGTGACTAGCACGCGCTCTGCCGCCGCTCAGCTGTTTAAAACGTTGCATTTCTATAGGCCTAGTATGTCTATGAGCTAGTAAGACTTCGCAATTTGAAATGTTGCTGTTGTTTTTGTCTTTTTGGAGATGTAATTTGGATAAGGAATGACGGTGGTAAAACCTTCGTTTTCTACACTTTTGGGTTGGAATAAAAGTAGCCCTCCTCATCCTTCTGTAGCATGGTAAGTGATATATATTTGTATTCCTAAATAAAAGCGGGAAATGTTTTAATGTCTTAATTTCTGTTCAATAAGAAATAGATATAGCCTATATCATATGCCTACATATGGAGTAACCCACAAATGATCAGACACATAGGCAGGCTACTTGTGTTTGATAGGCCTACCACATAATCAAATATTATGTGGTTTCTAATGGATGAATTTAGGCTAAGCATTGAATAAATTGTTATCTACAAAAGGTCATAGGCTACTATAGTCCACATGAGGTTCATATTACATATGGCCATAGGCCTATTATCTGCAAGATAGGGATTAGGCTATGATAACCTGTCCACCTCGGTCATATTCAATCAGATAATCCTCTTCAAACTGAGCCGTTTACAGCCTGTACATTTCCTGACAGTGTAAAATCATTCTTGCTGTTTCATTTAAATATAGCCAAGACAATGCCAACACTGTTAGAATGTCTTATCACAAAAAAGACTGGTTCGAAAATCAAAGTGTGTGATTTAGGCCTGTGTAGCTCCCTTTGTAACAGATACATAATTATGTGCATAACCCTTATATACAAATATTGATTGGTTGATTGATTTATAATGCATTTGTATTAAGATTCTCTTCTTGTCTTTCTGTGTCCATGTTGACAGGGAGTTGGGGTCTACATGTTAAGAACATCGTCTTTGGCCCTGCTGTGACAGTCTGCTTATAGCAGCTTATAGCGTGTGTTAGCCTCCTTGAGATGAGACCACCGCTCTGTGCCTTCCACAGCAAACCTCCCACATGGGCAGATATGGACACACATCTCCTGACCACCCCAAGGCACATCCCTTCCCCCTTCCTCTCTCTCCTCTCTTTCCTTCCCTCCATCTCTCCCTCTGTCTCCATCAGTATGATGTCCTCTGGATATGCTTCCTAGCCCTCCAGTGCCTTGCACCCCTTGGTCCCCTTGGCCCCTCTGCTCACGCCGGCCGCTTCTGTGTCGGGGTGGTGGGGCCATGGTCATGTGACCCTCTCTTCGCCAGGGCGCTGCCGAGCGTGGCGGCTCGGCTGGCGGTCGACCGTATCAACAGAGACCCCGCCCTCTCACTGGCGGCCACTTTTGATTATGTCATCCTGGAGGAGAAGTGTGAGACATCCAGGGCTCTGGATGAGTTCATGGGCTTCTATACCCGTGCTACAGGCTTCATAGGACCAGCCAACCCTGGGTACTGTGACGCTGCATCGCTACTGGGCAAGGGCTGGAACAAGGTTGGTGAGGGGTGGTGGTAGTAAATGTGAATATAATGGATGGATTCTATTAATTTAATATATTCTATTCCATTCCATTCCATTTTATTCCATTATATTCCATTCCGATTCATTCTATTCTATTCAATCCTCTCCTCAGGCAGTGTTCTCGTGGGGGTGGCTATGGCTATGAGCTAGATGATGCCCGGAACCACCCTACCTTTGCCCACTCCATGCCCCGGCCCACCTGGGTGCTGCTCAGCCTCATGCAGTACTTTCACTGGGCACACGTTGGCATCATCGCCTCCACTGAGGACAGCTGGGTGGAGACCGCCAGCAAGGTACTATCAACACAACACTACACTACACACGTTGAGATCATCGCCTCTGCAGAGGACAGTTGGGTGGAGACCACCAGCAAGGTTAGCAGAGAACATGCCGGTTGACTGAAGAGGAAACAGAAGGTTTTATTATTATGATGATGATGATGATTATTTATTTAGGTATTTATTTTCTTTCTTTCTTTTTAAACAGAATGTTACTGCGTTGGGCACTAAGAAAATATATGTCATGTTTTTTGTGACCTCTGACCTCTCTGAAGGTGGCCAACTCTCTGAGGAGTCATGGGATGCCGGTGAGGCTGGTGGTTACCATCGGTAACGATGCCACTAGGGTCAGAAAGACCCTGGCCAAGCTCAAGAAGGTGGAGGACCTACGCTGTGAGTATTGATATCATACACATGGAGAAATACTACTTTGACTATACATCTTTTGAGGGGAGGAAGCCACTTTATCCTATTGAGAAATACTCTCAGTTTGAATTCTTCACAAAGTGTGACTAGATGTTGTTGTAATATGGTGGAGCTCTTGCGTTCAGTCAAGTCAGATCAGTGATCACTTCAAAGAAGGGCTCAAGGAAAGATGAATTTACTGTACATGCAAACTACCGGTAAGCTTTTCCTCTTTTCCTTTCGTTACTCCCCGCTAGTGGTGATCATGTGTATGCACTCCGTCCTGATCGGAGGGGGGGCCCAGAAGCTCCTACTAGAAACAGCCCAGGACATGAAGCTGACAGAGGGGTCCTTTGTGGTCCTACCCTACGACACCCTACTCTACAGCCTACCCTACCACAACATCACCTACCCTGCCCTAAGGAACAACAACAAGCTACTGAAGGCCTATGATGCAGTGTTGACCATCACTATAGACTCACCCAAGATGTCTTTCTACCAGGCCTACCAGGAGGCTATAGACAGGGGAGAGATAGCTGGGGATGTCAAGCCACAACAGGTACAAAAATAAAGAAATTAAGTCAGCTCATGCTTTTTGCTAAACCACAACAGGTAAACACATAATTCTGGTGTGTGTGTGTGTGTTTGTGTGTGTGTATGTGTGTGTGGTGTGTATGTTTTTATCTGGGGGAGGTGTGGGTGTATGCTTCTGACTCTGTGTACTTGTGAACAGTATCACTGACCATGTGTGTTCTTGTGTTTATGCAAATTCTATTCTATTCCATTATATCCCATTGCAGGTGTTGTCATCCCTAACCTACATGTCTCTCTCCTCTCCATGTGTCTCCTCTGTTTGGGACCATCTACAGCTCGGTCCTGTTGATGGCCCATGCTGTCTACAGGGTCCGGGCCTCAGGGGAGTGGCTGTCTGGGGGAACCTGGCCCGACACACCCACCATCTGGTCTTCCAGGTACATGGATAATGAGGATTTAGGTTAGCATCATATTCACTATGAAGTGTACTACAAAAGGGTTCTTCGATTATCCCCATAGGAGAACCCTTTTTGGTTCCATGTAGAACCCTTTTTGGTTCCATGTAGAACCCTTTTGGGTTCCATGTATAACCCTCTGTGAATGGAACCTAAAAGGGTTCTACCTGGAACCAAAAAGGGTTCTCCAAAGGGTTCTGAATGTGGACAGCCGAAAAACCCTTTTAGGTTCTAGATAGCACCTTTTTTTCTAAGAGTGTACCCGTAGGGCACTGGTGAAAAGTAGTGCACTATATAGGGAAATAGTGTGCCATTTGGGACTCAGCCTTAATGTATTATGACCGATCTGGATTATATAGTGACACACACACACACTCCTTTCCAGGGCTTCAGCCACCCCATGAGGACCAACAGGTCTGGTGCTAGCCTGGCTGACTATCTGGTACTGGACACAGATGGGAAGACCTGGGACCTCAGGCCCACACACAGGTTGGAATGGAGGAGTGGGTTAGAGGTGGTGGTGTGTGCCGTGTGTACGGCCCTAACACTATTGTATACCTACAAGATAGACATAGCGGCTGACATGGTTAGTTTAGGGTTAGGATTAGTTATATTACTATAGTAATATTGGTTGAGGTTCCTGGGTAGAGACATCCACAATTCCCCAACGGTGTTCCTGATTTATGGTTAGGGTTATGATAGTGTATTGATGATATTGGTTATGGTTCTACAGACTAAACATGGCAGCAGACATGGTGAGGTTAGGGTTAGGGTTAGCACTAGTGCTACTGTAGTAATATTGGTTATGTTAACCATAACCCCCTCCCCTACAGGATAGATAAGGCTGCTGACATGGTGAGGTTTCTGGGTCGAGACATCCACTTCCCCCACGGTATTTCCCCCAAGACTGACTCCAACTGCTGGTTCATCAACGGCATCATCTGCACTGGAGGTACACACACACATATGCACTAGACATGCAAAGACACACAAACACACATTCAAATGCTCCACAATACATGCATACAGCATGGTTTTAGTAACATAATGCTAAGTTATAAAATGCTGAAATGTTTTCTCTAGGTGTGGATCCATTCTCAGCGGTTGGGATCTTCCTGGTTTTCGTCTTGTTTATTTTGACCTACTGCATCAAGCAATCTCAATAAAAATGATCTTCCTATACACTCCCTATACACTGTATATCACTGCTCTCCAACCCTGTTCCTGGAGAGCTACCATCCTGTAGGTTTTCACTATAACCCTAATCTTGCATATCTGATTCTAATAATTAGCTGGTTGATAAGCTGAATCAGGTTAGTTACAACTGGGGTTGGAACGAAAATCTACAGTAGGGTAGCTCTCCAGTAGCAGGGTTGGAGAGCCCTGCTGTATAAAGTACAAGCTACTGCATCAAGTAAAGCTCTACAACATGCCTACACATACACTCCTCACATTTACTTGTGTACATACTGGCTAGGCTAGAAACCCAAACAAATGGGAAAGATAGGCATCATCTAACTGTTAACATGTTAAAAGGCAATTCCACCACATTTCAACCTCATTTTAATTATCTCCAGCACCATACCAGTGTCTACATACGGTATGATCTGTGGTTAAAAAGAGAACAAAGGTCCAAAAAAATTATTCTCTGTGACATCACAGGTTAGGATTAAAAGTAAGAAAAACTGATTTTCAAAACCTGCAACGAGTTTCTAGCCGGAGGGAGGGTATTGTCTTTTTCCCCACGTCGCTGCGAATCTCATGTTTGAAAATCACATTTTAAAAACATTTTTGATCATGTCATCTGGAATAACTTTTTAACTTGATATGTTTTTCTACAAAACGTAGAAATGCTAGATTTTCACATATATAGACACTGGTATTGTGCTGGAGATAATTTAAAAGTGGTGGAATTGCCCTTTAAGTGTCTGACCACTTGATGTAGAGTGAACTATCCTTGAACTGTTAGCATTGGCACTTTTAAGGGAAACCCCTAGAGTGAACGTGTAATCCTATTTGTTATGGTCATAGTGAGGTCAAACATCCATCATCTTTCTTTGTTTATGTCTCTGTCTCTTGTTTCTTAGGCGACACATTAACCACATCTGGTTGTTCCGGGGTCCCAACAAGATCCTGCTCACCCTCAATGATGTCACCTTCATCAACCTGTCGCTTAGCAACAAGGTCAGCCAAGAAACTCTAAACTCCAAAACTCTCACCAAAAAGTATTGTGAAATGCTCTCATAAACAATATGTAAATGTAGGCTTATTTTGCTGGGCGTCTATGACGATTCCCCACTGTTTTCCCTCACGGTTGGGAAATGATGAATACCGACTACGAATACTGGTGGATCGTTCCACTGATACAGTGGCCTTTTTGTGAAGTGTATCTTGGTCAACAAAAATGTTTGATTTCACCTCATTTTTACATTCTGAGCACATGTTCAACTTCATAAACACAGTTTCCCATCTCAACAGGTTAAATTAAATAATTACTATAGTAAGTGCCTATTAAGTGACAAATAAAGTTACAGGGTTGACAATTTCATCTTAAATCAGCAATACATCCCCTTGTGACAGGGGGAATGGAAGCTTGTTGTGTGCAACAGGAAGTGGTAATTGAATGCAAGCAACAACCCAAAAATGTAATGCTCAAACATTTCTAGCCCGTCTATCTATGAGGGTTGATGTGTTATGCTCCACCCACTGAGTTTTCTACCACAAAACACCAGCAAATGTCCAAAGAGAGTAGAACCAGCTCAGCTGCTTTTACACGATGATTTGAATATTAGATGTTCAAAGTTTCTTTTTGAAAAATATATTTAAAAAGGAATTATGTCACCATATTAAAACCAGAAATCAGTTCACGTAACAGGGTTGACCTTAAAAAGAGGGACAGACCTAAATGAATCACTAATTAAATCAAATAAATAATAATCTTCCAAAATGACTTTGTCAAAGCAACAAAGTAACTACGGCTTTACAATGATGGTGAAACTTGGAGACATTTTTGGATTTCTTCCTAGAAGTGACACAGGATTGATGGAGGGACATGTCAAAATGCAGAATTTTGGCAGTTTAGCAAGCCTTTATTTATATAAAAAATTTAATGAATTATCCATGTGGTCTATATTAAAGGGCACTTCATTTAATATAACAGGCTTTTAAAATGCAATATTGGTGTACAATTTCTACTTAAAATATCAAAGGGCACTCTTTTCGTGGAACGACCCTGGTGTATTAGCAGTCATGATTGAACCTATGTCTTCTAAGATGTCTGCTGTGCTCCAGAAGCTGAGTATAGACGACAGTAAGAAGTTAGACCAGTGGAGTCTCTCTGAGGAGCCTGTCACAGCGCAGCGTCATGTCCCCCTTCTCTGAACAATCACCTGCTACCTACGAGAACTCCAACATTGTCTTCTATGAGGTGAGAAAGGGCAGAATGGTTGTTTGATTGATCAAATGATTGATTGATTTGTTATAATGAACTTAATTAAATACATGTTTGTGATGAACATCTGAGGGGGGAAATTCTTGACTATTTAATGGGACTCCAAACTAGGCTGACAAAATGGGCTACACGGCCTCATCTCCCTAGTACCCAAATGGCTAATGTCCAATTGCTAGAAAATAAACTTTGTGAACTCAGAGCAAGGCTTCAATTGCAGAGGGACATCAGGGAATGCTGTGGCTTTTTTTTTTTTTTTTACAGACAATACACTCGACTCTGCTATTCAACCAGATGGCTTTTCCATTTTCCATATGGATCGAATGGTGGCTTCTGGTAAGAGTAGGGGGGAGGTGTATGCTTCCTCATTAACAATTCCGGGTGTACTGAAGCTGAAAACATCTCAAGCTCCTGTTCACCCGACCTGGAGTTTCTGATGTTTAAATGTCGATCCCACTATATGCCGAGGGAATTAGCGTGTGTCATTATCACAGCTGTTTACACACTGCTACAAGCAAACCCCCGGAAGCTGTCTTTATTGTCACGGGTGATTTTAACCAAGCACGTTTTTTCCCCCACATTTTTCCAAAATATCACCAACATGTATCCTTCCCCACGAGAGGAAACAACTTGCTGGACCATGTATATACAAACATCTGTGATGCGTACAAAGCCATTCCCGCCCCCACTTCGGCCAATCAGATCACGTCTCTCAGTTCCTACTCCCAGCCTACAAGCAGCAACTCAAGAGGGAGCCACCAACACAACAAATATTGAGGCGCTGGACAGAAGAGGCAGACTCAATGCTGCAGGACTGTTTTGAGAATACTGATTGGAATATGTTCAACGATTTATCCACCCAGGACTCATCCATCAACATTGAGGAATATACTGTACATCGTCAGTCACAGGCTTCATTAGGAAATGTGTTGATGATGTTGTACCCACAATAACAATCTGGACATACCCCAACCAAAAACCCTTGGTGATCGGAGATATCCGTACTGCAGCATTCAATGTCACCAGAACGAACCCCGATGACTCGGTGGTGCACGGCGCGTACAAGGCAAGCAGGATTGAGCTCTGCAAATCCATTAGGGACACAAAAAGACAATATAGACTCAAACTTGAATTGATATTCGACAACTCAGACTCGCAGCGCATGTGGCAAGGACTGTAGACTATCACATACTACAAAGGCAAATCCAGCTGTGTGGTGCCCACTGAAGCCTCACTCCCAGACAAGCTTAACACATTCTATGCTCGTTTCGAGGAAGACAATACTGAGCCATCCAGGAAGACTCTCGCTGCTCCGGACGACCAGGTGCTTTCGCTCTCCGAGGCTGACTCTCAAACTCTCAAAGGAGACCACAATGGAGACCACAAAGCCATCGGCCCAGATGGCATCCCTGGCCGCGTCCTCAGAGTGTGTGCTGACCAGCTGGCAGGCGTCTTCTCAGACATCTTCAACCTGTCCCTGTCCCAGGCTGTAGTCCCCACCTTCTTCAAGGAGACCACCATCGTCCCAGTGGCCAAGGAAAACAAGGTCACATTCCCAAATGACTGTCGCCCCGTCGCACTCACCCCAGTCATCATGAAGTGCTGCGAGAGGCTGGTCATGGCCCACATCAAGGCCAGTATGCCAGGCACACTGGACCCTCTCCAATTTGCCTACCGCTCCAACAGATCCATGGAAGATGCCCTTTCGCTCGCTATTCACACGGCAATAACCCATCTGGACAAGAGGAACACCTATGTGAGAATGCTGTTCAATGACTACAGTTCAGCATTCAATACTATTGTTCCCTCCAAGCTTGACACCAAGCTCAGAGCCTTGGGTCTGGACACCACCCTCTGCAACTGGATCCTGGACTTTCTGACGGGCAGACCACAGGCTGTGAGGATTGGCAGCAACACCTCCTCCACACTGACTCTTAACACAGCCCCCCCCCCCCCCCCCCCCCCCCCCCCGCCCCCCCCCATGGGTGTGTCCTCAGCCCTCTGCTGTACTCCTTGTTAAGCCACGACAGTGTGGCTTTGCACGACACCTACTCCATTATCGAGGTTGCTGACGGCACCACGGTGGTAGGCCTGATAAAAAACAACGACGAGTCAGCCTATAGGGAGGAAGTAAGTGAACTGGCATTGTGGTGCCAGGACCAACAACCTCTCCCTCAATGTCAGCAAAACAAAGGAGTTGATTGTTGACTTCAGGAAGCAGAGGAGGAACATTCTCCGATCCACATCAACGGGACTGCTGTAGAGATAGTCAGCAGTTTTAAGTCCTTCGGCATCCACATCACAGAGGACTTGACATGGACCTACGACACCATCCCTCTTTTCAAGAGGGCACAACCGTGGCTCTACTTCTTAAGGCGGCTGAACAAATGCGGCATGCCACCCCGGGTCCTCTCCAAATACTACCACTGCACCATCGAGAGCGTCCTGACCAGTTGCATCACGGCCTGGTATGGGAATTGCTCCTTCCATGACCGCAAGGCCCTCCAGCGGGTGTTGAAGACGGCCCAGTACATCACTTGTACCCTGTTCCCACCCATCCAGGACATCTACTCGAAACAGTGCATAAGGAAGGCCCTCAGCATCATCAAGGACCCCACACAACCGATGGTATTGTAGCATGAGGTCTGATACCAACAGGCTCAGAGACAGTTTCTATCTACAAGCCATCAGACTGCTGAACACTTGAACTGGAGTGACCACCTGCACTGACTCTCTGCACCTTAGCACAAATGCACTCACTCACACACACACCCGCACAGATATACACTCATACACACACACACACACACACACACACACACACACACACAAACACACACACACAGTCTTGCGCAGCTAACCTTGTGGGGACATACAATTCAGTCCCATTCAAAATCCTATTTTCCCTAACCCTTAACCCTAAACCTAACCCTAACCCTAACCTTAACAATAACCCTAACCCTAACCTTAACCCAAAAACCTAACCTTAACCCTAACCCTAACCCTAACCATATCTCCTAACTCTAACCCTAAACCTAATTCTAACCCTAACACTAATTATAACCTTAACCCTAAATCCCCTAGAAATACCATTTGACCTTGTGGGGACCAACAAAATGTCCCCAGTTGGTCAACTGAAGTGTATGTAAACTTCCGACTTCAACTGTATATATACATATTTTTTACCCTTCATCAATCTACACACAATACCTCATAATGACAAAGCAAAAATGGGTGTTTAGAAATGCTTGCCATTCATCTGCTGCCATCAACTCATGTTTAAGCATGATAATGCATGGCCCCATGTCACAAGGATCTGTACACAGTTCCTGGAAGTTGAAAATTTCCCAGTTCTTCCATGGCCTGCATTCTTACCAGACATGTTACCCATTGAGCATATTGGGGATGCTCTGGATCAACGTTTACAACAGCGGGTTCCAGTTCCCGCCAATATCCAGCTACTTTGCACAGCCATTGAAGAGGAGTGGGACAACATTCCACAGGCCCCAATCAGCAGCCTGATCAACTCTATGCGAAGGAGATGTGTTGCACTGCAATGTCACACCAGATACTGACTGGTTTTGTGATCCACACCCCTACTTTTTGCATATCTGTATTCCCAATCATGTGAAATTCATAGATTAGGGCCTATTGAATTTATTTCAATCATCTGATTTCCTTATATGAACTGTAACTCAGTAAAATCTTTAAAATTGTTGCATGTTGCGTTTATATTTTTGTTCAGCGTGTGTGTGTGTGTGTGTATACAGTACCAGTCAAAAGTTTGGACACACCTACACATTCCAGTGTTTTTCTTTATTTTTACTATTTTCTACATTGTAGAATAATAGTGAAGACATCAAAACTATGAAATAACACATATGGAATCATGTAATAACCAAAAAAGTGTTAAACAAATCAAAATATATTTTATATTGGAGATTCTTCAAAGTAGCCACCCTTTGCCTTGATGAGAGCTTTGCACTCTTGCCATTCTCTCAACCAGCTTCATGAGGTAGTCACCTGGAATGCATTTGAATTAACAGGTGTGCCTTGTTAAAAGTTAATTTGTGGAATTTGTGGAATTTCTTTCCTTCTTTATGCGTTTGGAGCCCATTGGTGTGACAAGGGTAGGGGTGGTATAAAAATAATAATAATAATAATATGCCATTTAGCAGACCTTTTATCCAAGCGACTAAGTGCGTGCAAATTTTTTGTGAATGGTATACAGAAGATAGCCCTATGTGGTAAAATACCAAGTCCATATTATGGCAAGAACAGCTCAAATAATCAAAGAGAAACGACAGTCCATCATTACTTTAAGACATGAAGGTCAGTCAATCCAGAACATTTCTATAACTTTGTTTCTTCAAGTGCAGTTGCAAAAACCATCAAGCGCTGTGATGAAACTGGCTCTCATGAGGACCGCCACAGGAAAGGAAGACCCAGAGTTACCCCTGCTGCAGAGGATAAGTTAATTAGAGTTAACTGCACCTCTGATTGCAGCCCAAATTAATGCTTCACAGACTTCAAGTAACAGACGCATCTCAACATCATCTGTTCAGTGGAGACTGCGTGAATCAGGCCTTCATGGTCGAATTGCTGCAAAGAAACCACTACTAAAGGACACCAATAAGAAGAAGAGACTTGCTTGGGCCAAGAAACACGAGCAATGGACATTAGACCGGTGGAAATATTTCCTTTGGTCTGATGAGTCCAAATTTGAGATTTTTGGTTCCAACGTCTTTGTGAGACGCAGAGTAGGTGAACGGATGATATTCGCATGTGTGGTTCCCACCGTGAAGCATGGAGGAGGAGATGTGATGGTATGGGGGTGCTTTGCTGGTGACACTGTCGGTAATTTATTTAGAATTCAAGGCACACTTAACCAGCATGGCTACCACAGCATTCTGCGGCGATACGCCATCCCATCTGGTTTGCACTTAGTGGGACTATCAATTGTTTTTCAACAGGACAATGACCCAAAACACACCTCCAGGCTGTGTAAGGGCTATTTGACCAAGAAGGAGAGTGATGGAGTGCTGCTTTTGACTGGTACTGTGTATATATATATATATATATATATATATACATATATATATACATATATATATATACAGGTATATAATGTTCCTCATCCCCTCTCCTGTCTTCTCATAGGTGGAGACAATAGGCGAATGCCTACATGGTGGCATCAGGGTTACCGGTTGCCAACGGAGATCGGCACGCGGCAGAGATATCCAACATGGCGCTGGACATCCTCAGTGCTGTGGGCACCTTCAAGATGAGACACATGCCTGACCTCCCTGTACGCATACGCATAGGACTACACTCAGGTGAGATAGAGTGTGGTCACATACAGCTAAACACACACACATACACACATACCTTACCTCACCTCCCCTTACCTCACCTCTCTGTGTCTATCCAATAGGTCCGTGTGTAGCAGGGGTAGTAGGACTGACCATGCCCAGATACTGTTTATTCGGTGACACAGTCACCACTGCCTCTCGTATGGAGTCTACTGGGATGCGTAAGTTACATATCCATGTATAATAGATATGTAACGTAGTCTATGCACTGTTGTTGCTTAAAAGTGAAGGACTTGTCGTGGGTGCATGATTGACTGAGCCAGGAAGCTTCTTTATAAAGTGTGTATGCATTTGAGTTTGTGATTGTCATGCCGCCTGTATTTGCAGTGTACAGAATCCACATCCATAACAGCACAGTTAAAATCCTCCTGGATCTCAAGGCAGGATACAAGGTGCAACTGAGAGGCAGGACAGACCTTAAGGTAAAAGTCACAGGTAGAACTGACTACTTGGTACCACCATCATGTTACATACAGTAAGCTCAAGAATACTTAGAACTCCCTAAAACTCCCTAGAACTCTCTAGAACTCCCTAGAACTCTCTAGAACTCACCTAGAGAACTGCCTACTGAACTCTTTCTCTCTCATCTTTCCCTGCCCTCTCTCTCTTTCTCCTCTGTCTCTCTGTCCTCTCCCCCTCTCCTCTTTACATGGAAAAGGAGGAACAGAGGAGACCTACTGGCTTATAGGGAAGGACAACTTTGAGAAACCTCTCCCCGTCCCTCCCGAATTCAAGAAAGGGTATGGAACGCCCTCCTTCCATCCCTCCCCTGTCTCTCCTCCACTGTCTGTGTGTCTTTCATTGTTGATCCTGCCTCTGTGTCCGGTTCGTTTCCACAGGCAAATGGCTCATGGCCTGCAGATGGAGGAGATAGCGAGGTACAAGAAGAAAAACTTCAACAGCTTGCAAAGAAGAATAACTGAATTACATAAGGTAATGTTATGCATGGAAAATTTATAACATTACTTGTTTGGCTATGTTTTTACTTACTGTAGTTTTGGACTTGGGGCTAGTTGTGATCCTTATAAAACTTTTTTGTTTGGCGTCACCCCACCGCCATTTATATTAATTTGTTGGTCACTGATGAAACTCAGTTCTTCTACTTTACAAGTTTGAGGCCGGGATTCTGTCAAAGGCACATTGTTGACAATGCACCTTTGATTGAATCTCAGCCTAAGTTTCACTTGTAACCTTAGTGATATGATACTGTATGTGTAGATTTAATTCTAAGTTAGTATTTCTTTTTAAATTATCAGCTAATATAGAACATGTATGAAAGCTCTATTGCAAATTTGATAGAGCAAACCAGAAGAAAAGAGAACTTACAAGACGTTCAGATACATATAAAGTAGGGCCGGGACAACACCAGTATTGCGATACTTGTTAGTATCGTGGCAAGGAAACAAAACACAAAGCGGATTTAACTTCTTTAGGAAAACAGCTCCAATGTTGGAAACAAACATCATTATGTTGTCATCCAGAGTCACATTTATTTATTTTCCAAGCTATAGCACACAATATTTTACATAGTGCAGGTTTTTAAAGGACAAAATAGTTAGGTATGCTTTGTGTTTTCATTTTTGCCATGGAAAGAATATTGCGGTACTGGTGTCGTCCATGCCCTAAAATGAAGCACGTACTAAAGTTTCCTATCAGCTGCCAATAATGCTGCCTACAGTATGTGTGGAATCCTACATATGTTGTTGTTTGTACTGTATGTTATGCTTATATATTTCTATTTTCACCCCATGATTCTTGTGTGTGTTCCGTAACGCTGTCATTTTGTGTAGTCACATATTTACCAGGATTAGTTGTCTAAATGAATACCCATTTGCTGCCAATACCATGTCTCTTCAGCAGAGTTGATTCTCCCTGGTAGTTCGTTGATTGACAATTGCGTCCACTCCTCTGGTTGGGGAAGGATGAAAACTGGGATGGAAATTAAGCTAGTAGTAAATGTGCCCAACTAGCCCACCGGCTGGTGAAATGTTGTCTTTTTAAATATTGCATGGCACAGATTTAGGACCGGGGCTTGTAAAACTTGTGGTCTATTAGCCCGGCTGACCAGTGCCCAAAATCCTTAAGTTCCATCCCTGGATGAAAACCAGCAGCAGTCTTATTGCCAGTTAGACCACCAGGCTTGGATTTTTATGCCCCCTAGTAGAGCCATGTATTTAGAGAGTTGGGCCAAGTTTTAGAATTTTCTAATTCTAGACATTCAGTTACATAGCATTAGTTATTATTTCAGGTCCTTCTGCAAAGTGTTCCAAGATGATGGGGCAGCAAAGCTAAAAGCACTCTTACCAGACTCCGTTCTTGTATTGGGAACATTATATAAAACTCTCTCTCGTCTTCCAGGTCTGCCCAGGAGATCATCAAGGACTTCAAGCGGCTCCTCCAGAATGCCGTGAAGAAGATCTCCACCATCAGAACGGTGATTCAGATCACTATGGTGGACGACAACAACGTCATGATGCACCACCACTGACCAATCAGACATCATGATGCACCTCCACCGACCTTTGACCCTAGCCAGAAAGACGGGCATCAGGCAAAGGCTTATTTTGACTCAATTTTGAACCAATGGAACTTGGGGTTGACCAATGAGGACCACCAATTGACTACTTTTTTTTTCTGTGTCCGTTTTGAGCTACAGATCCTCACTATCTCTCCATGGTCAACTTTGAGAGGGAACAGCAGAGAGGAAGAGGGTCTAGGGAGCAGCTTGTGTATGCAAGTTTTTGGTGACTCTTCAAAAAGGCCAAATGTCTGGTCATGCATTGCACAAGCCCTGGAACTGTCTCGGAGGAACTGAAAGAAAGAACAAGACAGTGTGAAAACAGTGTGTGTGTGTGTGTGTGTGTGTGTGTGTGGGGTGGGGGGGGGGGAGGGTTATGTGCTGTGCTGTCTAGAGGCTACTGCAGCTTGTTTTAAATAAGAAGCGCCTTGCAGGATTGTAGGATGATGAGTCACATTATCCAGGGACTATTAATAGGACTATCAGTAGGACTGTATTACTCAGCAAACCACGGATCGGATCTGTCAGGAGATGAACACTTTGTTCAAAGCCTCTTCCTCCTGCTCCCTTCTTTCTTCTCCTACTACTTCCCTCCTTCTCATCCTCTCATTGTGCCCTAACGAAACAGTCTGACACGATTGTCATGTTCCCTGCGTCCACACTTCCAAAGGAAGCACACTTTGTCCGTCTGCTGACTTTGTCTGTCTGCTGACTTACTGAAACTCAAGCTTTGCTTTCTTTAGTTGTTTTGTCTTGTGTTATAATGATGTTATTTTATGCACACCTCAGTCTTCCTGGATTTTGAACAGGAGAGGTTCCATTGATGGGTAGCTACAGGTGTAAAGACCAAGTCCCCATAGAAGTTATAAGTTACTGTAACATGTACAGTACATCTGTGGAATCACTCACAAAAGGTTTTAGGTTTTTAAATTGTTCAATTTGTGGGGCCTAGAGGTTGCTGCTATGAACAGTATGTGCTCACAGCGACACATTTACATTTAGCAGAAGGTCTTATCCAGAGCGACTAACAGTTATTGCATTCATCACAGACACTTTTTTAGGTGAGAGACAATCCATCAAAGCTCACTTGGAAGAGTTATCTGATGCACAATTATACACTCTGATGAAGCACAAACATTCCTGTATTTTATTTTCTCCAAATTATTTTTGTTTGTTTGTGTACCAGTATTCATTGGATTCATCTATAATTGTGTACTGTAACTTGTTAGCATGGCTTGCAATACAAATGTGGCATTTTTATTGCATTAGATACTATTTTCATGGCTTCATAATAGACTAGTCACAATAATGCACTTTCATGACCCATATGTGGTGACTCAGACAAACAATACATAGGCCTACAGTATAGCAATATAGTTAAATGATCGACGGCACACTGTTACAATAAACATTTCCTATATCACAAATACTGTAGCTTTGGTATTCTGAATGGATCTCAAATTAGATAAAAGATGGGGCAAATAAAACCTACTAAATCTCAATTTAAGGGTTAGGAAAAATATATGTATAATTGGTTACAGGCAACCCCTGTACCTGTAGGCCTACTGTCTATCCCTATGTACCAGTATACGTCTCAGGGTTTAATCAACTACAGCACCCCCCAGTGGAGTGGCAGAGGGAGCAGACGCGGCAGCTGGTAACCCAGAATGCAGCTGGGATTGGGATTACCTCATAGAGATAGATAGAGGACTCAAGTGCCCAAAAGCCTGTTTTGGCATGGGCAGTGCCATTGAGGACTTTCACAATTTGGAAGTAGTCAACTGGGTGGGACTTTCTATGGGTTAAGGAAGGATCACATGAGTCCATCCTGTCATCATTAGGGATCAGCCAATGAATTATACTTGTGAGCAAACATTCCATAACTGTAGGTGGCAACAGACGCATATCTGTATTCCCAGTCATGTGAAATCCATAGATTAGGTCCTAATGAATTTATTTCTATTGACTGATTTCCTTATATGAACTGTAACTCAGTAAAATCTTTGACATTTTTGCATGTTGCATTTACATTTTTGTTCGGTATAGATCTATGAATTATCTACTGCTCTACTCCCTGCAGCCGGGGCTGTCTGCCTGCTCCTAGAAGGGCATCATGTGTAAGAGGGCTGGGTCCTCCTTTACCATATTATAATCACACTACAGCCCCAGTTATAAACCTGCTCATAGATAGAGCCACACACAGATTATATGCTGCCTGGGAATATGTATCAGACTACAGTACATTACCATTTCAGTGTTAGCAGATTCTACTACTGGTCAGGAATCAAAAACTGCAAACCCAGATTATAGTCCCTCTGCACCATTTATAAACCAACTCATAGAGCCATAGACATATTATATTAGAACACACTGCTGCCTGGGAGTATGTATATGCACTACACAGATTATATGATAACACTGCTAGTCTGCTGGGAATAAGTATCAGTCTAAAGCACCATTTACTGTACATGGGGGCTACTGTCTGAGTTTGCAGAGATTTTTTCCAGCCCAGGACTACAGACAGGTTATATTAGAACACACCGCTGGTCTGCTGTGTTGGAAATATGTACCAACAGACTAAAGCACCATTTACAGTACATCAGGGTGAGCAGAAATAATGTGGTTTGCAGGGTTTTGTTTCTGTCCAGACCGGTTTGAATAGATATATTGTGGACTTCAATCAACAGATCACTTCAGTCTGGACCATAGTTAGTCATATTGAGTGTATTAGTGTTGGGCTAGAACAAAAGCCTGCTTTGGCTGGGCCACTCAAGAACATTCAGGGACTTGTCCCGAAGCCACTCCTGCGTTGTCTTGGCTGTGTGTTTGGGTTGTTGTCCTATTGAAAGGTGAACCTTCACCCCAGTCTGAGGTCCTGAGTGCTCTGGAGCAGGTTTTCATCAAGGATTTCTGTACTTTGCTCCATTCATCTTTCCCTCGATCCTGACTAGTCTCCCAGTCCTTGCCGCTGAAAAACATTCCCACAGCATGATGCTGCCACCACCTTGCTTCACCGTAGGGATGGTGCCAGGTTTCCTCCAGACGTGACGCTTGGCATTCAGGCCAAAGAGTTCAATCTTGGTGTCATCAAATCAAATTTTATTTGCCACATGCGCCGAATACAACAGGTGTAGGCATTACAGTGAAATGCTTACTTACAAGCTCTTAACCAACAATGCAGTTTTTTAAATAAAAAGTAAAATAAATAGAAGTGTTAAGTAAAAGAATAAAAGCAAATAACTAAAGAGCAGCAGTAAAATAAAATAACAGTAGGGAGGCTATATACAGCGGGGTACAGGTACAGAGTCAATGTGCGGGGGCTAGTCGAGGTAATTGAGGTAATATGTACATGTGGGTAGAGTTAAAGTGACTATGCATAAATAATCAACAGAGTAGCAGCAGCGTAAGAGAGGGGGATGGGGTGGGGTGGGGGGGGCAGTGCAAATAGTCCGGGTAGTCATGATTAGCTGTTCAGGAGTCTTATGGCTTGGGGGTAGAAGCTGTTGAGAAGACTTTTGGACCTAGACTTGGCGCTCCGGTACCGCTTGCCGTGCGGTAGCAGAGAGAACAGTCTATGACAAGGGTGGCTGTCTTTGACATTTTAGGGCATTCCTCTGACACCGCCTGGTATAGAGGTCCTGGATGGCAGGAAGCTTGGCTCCAGTGATGTACTGGGCCATACGCACTACCCTTTGTAGTGCCTTGCGGTCGGAGGCCGAGCAGTTGCCATACCAGGCGGTGATGCAACCAGTCAGGATGCTCTCGATGGTGCAGCTGTATAAGTTTTTGAGGATCTGAGGATCCATTCCAAATCTTTTCAGTCTCCTGAGGGGGAATAGGCTTTGTCGTGCCCTCTACACGACTGTCTTGGTGTGTTTGGACCATGATAGTTTGTTGGTGATGTGGACACCAAGGAACTTGAAGCTCTCAACCTGTTCCACTACAGCCCTGTCGATGAGAATGGGGGCGTGCTCAGCCCTCTTTTTTTTCCTGTAGTCCACAATCATCTCCTTTGTCTTGATCACGTTGAGGGAGAGGTTGTTATCCTGGCACCACACAGCCAGGTCTCTGACTTCCTCCCTATAGGCTGTCTCATCATTGTCGGTGGTCAGGCCTACCACTGTTGTGTCATCTGCAAACGATCATGTTGGAGTTGTGCCTGGCCATGCCGTCATGGGTGAACAGGGAGTACAGGAGGGGACTGAGCACGCACCCCTGAGGGGCCCCCGTGTTGAGGATCAGCGTGGCAGATGTGTTGTTACCTACCCTTACCACCTGGGGGCGGGCCGTCAGAAAGTCCAGGATCCAGATGCAGAGGGAAGTGTTTAGTCTCAGGGTCCTTAGCTTAGTGATGATCTTAGAGGGCACTATGGTGTTGAACGCTGAGCTGTAGTCAATGAATAGCATTCTCACGTAGGTGTTCCTCTTGTCCGGGTGGGAAAGGGCAGTGTGGAGTGCAATAGAGATTGCATCATCTGTGGATCTGTTGGGGCGGTATGCAAATTGGAGTGGGTCTAGGGTTTCTGGGATAATGGTGTTGATGTGAGCCATGACCAGCCTTTCAAAGCACTTCATGGCTGCAGACGTGAGTGCTACGGGTCGGTAGTCATTTAGGCAGGTTACCTTAGTGTCCTTGTGCAGAGAATCTTGTCCTTGACCAGAGAATCTTGTTTCTCATGGTCTGAGAGTCCTTTTAGATGCCTTTTGGCAAACTCCAAGAGGGCTGTCATGTGCCTTTTACTGAGGATTGGCTTCCGTCTGGCCACTCTACCATAAAGGCCTGATTGGTGGAGTGCTGCAGAGATGGTTGTCCTTCTGGAAGATTCTCCCATCTCCACAGAGGAACTCTAGAGCTCTGTCAGAATGACCATCGGGTTCTTGGTCACCTCCCTGACCAAAGCCCTTCTCCCCCGATTGCTCAGTTTGGCCGGGCGGCCAGCTCTAGGAAGAGTCTTGGTGGTTCCAAACTT